CCAGCGGCACCACTACGCCCAGCACGTCGGCGAGCAGTACGAGCGAGAGCAGCAACGCGAGGATGACGAGTGCGACCAGTACCAGTGGCCCCACTACGCCCAGCACGGCGGAGAGCAGTACAACCGAGAGCAGCACCACGTGTATGACGAGTACGACCAGTACCAGCGTCACCACTACGCCCAGCACGTCGGCGAGCAGTACGGCTGAGAGCAGCACCACGGGTATGACGAGTAAGGCCAGTACCAGCGGCACCATTACGCCCAGCGCTTTGGCGAGCAGTACGACCGAGAGCAGCACCACAAGTGTGACGAGTAAGACCTGCACCAGCGGCACCACTACGCCAAGCACGTCGGCAAGCAGTACGACCGAGAGCAGCACCACGAGTATGGCTAGTGCGACAGGCACCAGCAGCATCATTACGCCGAGCACGTTGGACAGTACTACGACTGAAAGCAGCACCGCGAGTAAGACGGGTACGACCAGTACCAGCGGCACTCTTACGCCCATCACGTCGGTGAACAGTACGATCGAGAGCAGGACCACGAGAATCACGAGCACGAGCGCCACCAGCAGCAACCCTGCGCCCAGCACATCGGAGAGTAATACAAGCGAGAGCAGCACCACGAGTCTGACGAGTACGACGGATACCAGCAGCACTAATACGCCCAGCACGACGGATAACAGTTCGACCGAGAGCACCACCACGAGTATGACGAGTACGACCGGTACCAGCGGCAACACTACGCCCAGCACGTCGGTGAGTACTACGACTGAAAGCAGCACCGCGAGCATGACGAGTGTGATCGCTACCAGCAGCACCACTCCGCCCAGCACGTCGGCAAGCAGTATGACCGAGAGCAGCGCCACGAGGGTGACGACCACGACCGAGACCGAGACCAGCAGCACCACTACGCCCAGCACGTCGGCGAGCAGTACGACCGAAAGCAGCGTCGCGAGTATGATCAACACGATAGGTACCAGTAGCAACGCTACGCCTAGCGCGTTGGCGAGCAGCATGAGGGAGAGCAGCACGAGTGTGACGAGCACGACCGGTACCACCAGCACCACCACGCACAGCACGTCGGCGAACAGTCTGACCGAAAGCAGCGTCACGAGTGTGACGAGCACGGCCCGTACCAGCAGCGCCACTACGCCCAGCGCGTCGGTGAGCAGTACGACCGAGAGCAGCACCACGAGGGTGACGAGCACGACCGAGACCGCCAGCACCACTACGCCCAGCGCGTCGGCGAGCAGTACGACCGAGAGCCGCACCCCGAGGGTGACGAGCACGACCGGTACCAGCAGCACAACTACGCCCAGCATGTCGGCAAGCGGTACGACCGACAGCAGCACCATGGGTGTGACGAGCGCGACCGGTACCAGCAGCACCACTACGCCCAGCACGTCGGCGACCAGTGCGACTGGAAGCGGTACCACGAGTGGGACGAGCACAACCGGCACCAGCAATACCACTACGCCCAGCACGTCGGCGAGCAGTACGTCCGAGTGCAGCACCACGAGTGTGACGAGCACGACCGGTACCAGCAGCACCACGCCCAGCGCGACGGCGAACAGTACGACCGAGAGCAGCACCACGACTGTGACGAGCACGACCCCTACCAGCAGCACCAGTACGCCCAGCACGTCGGCGAGCAGTCCGACCGAGAGCAGCAAAGCGAGTGCGACGAGCACAACCGAGACCAGCAGCATCACTACGCCCAGCACGTCGGCAAGCAGTACGACCGAGAGTAGCACCACAAGTGTGACAAGCACGACCGAGACCAGCAGCATCACTGCGCCCAGTACGTCGGCGAGCAGAACCACCGACAGCAGCATCACGTTCGGGACGAGCACGTCCGATACCAGCAGCACCGCCACGCCCAGCGCGTCGGCGAGCAGTACGACCGAGAGCAGCACCACGACTGTGACAAGCACGACCCCTACCAGCAGCACCACTACGCAAAGCACGTCGGCGAGCAATACGACCGAGAGCAGCACCACGAGTGTGTCGAGCGCGACCGAGACCAGCAGCGCCACTACGCCTAGCACGTCGGCGAGCAGTACGACCGAGAGCATCTCCACGAGTGTGACGAGCACAACCGAGACCAGCAGCATCACTGCGTCCAGCCTGTCGGCAAGCAGAACCACTGACAACAGCATCACTTTCGGGACGAGCACAACCGATACCAACAGCACCGCCCTGCCCAGCGCGTCGGCGAGCAGTACGATCTAAAGCAGCACCACGAGTGTGACGAGCACGACCGTGAACAGCAGCACCACTACGCCCAGCACGTCGGCGAGCAGTGCGACCGAAAGCAGCACCACGGGGGTGACGAGCACAACCGAGACCAGCAGCACCAGTACGCCTAGCACGTCGGCGAGCAGTGCGACCGAGAGCAGCGCCACGAGGGTGACGAGCACGACCGAGACCAGCAGGAACATTACGCCTAGCACGTCGGCGAGCAGTACGACCGAGAGCATCTCCACGAGTGTGGCGAGCACGACCGATACCAGCAGCATCGCTACGCCCAGCACGTCGGCGAGCAGAGCCACCGCCAGCAGCATCACGGTCGGGACGAGCACAACCGGTACCACGCCAAGCGCGTCGGCGGCCAGTACGACCGAAAGCAGCACCACGAGTGTGACGAGCACGACCGCTACCAGTAGCGCCACGACGCCTGGCACGTCTGCGAGCAGTACGACCGAGAGCAGCACCGCGAGGATGATGAGCACGTCTGGTACCAGCACCAATACGCCCAGCACGTCGGCGAGCGGTACGCCCGAGAGCAACGCCACGGGGGGGACGAGCACGACCGAGACCAGCAGCACCACTACGCCCAGCACGTCGGCGAGCAGTACAACCGAAAGCAGCACCACGAGGGTGACGAGCACGACCGATACCAGCAGCGCCACTACGTCCAGCGGGTCGGTCAGCAGTACGACCGAGAGCAGCACCACGAGGGTGACGAGCGCGAGCGGCGCCAGCAGCACCGCTACGCCCAGCACGTCGGCGAGCAGTACGACTGAGAGCAAAACCACGAGTTTGACGATCACGACCGAGACCAGCAGCACCACTACGCCCAGCACGTCGGCGAGCAGTACGACCGAGAGCAGCACCACGACTGTGACGAGCACGACCGGGGTCAGCAGCAACGTCACACCCAGCGCGTCGGCGAACAGTACGGCCTCGAGCAGCACCACGAGTGTGACGAGCACGACCCGTACCAGCAGCACCACTACGCCCAGCGTGTCGGCGAGCAGTACGACCGTGAGCAGCACCACGAGTGTGCCGAGCACGACCGAGACCAGCAGCAACACTACGCCTAGCACGTCGGCGAGCAGTACGACCGAGAGCAGCACCACGAGAGTGACGAGCACGACCGAGACCAGCAGCACAGCCACGCCCAGCGCGTTGGCGAGCAGTACGACTGAGAACAGCACCACGAGTGTGACGAGCACGACTAGTACCAGCAGCACCACTACGCCCAGCACGTCGGCGAATAGTACAACCGAAAGTAGCACCATGAGTGGGACGAGCACTACTAGCACCAGCAGCACCACTACGCCCAGCAGGTCGGCGAGCGGTACGACCGAAAGCAGCACCACGAGTGGGACGAGCACATCTGGCACCAGAAATACCACTACGCCCAGCGCGTCGGCGAGCAGTACGCCCGAGGGCAGCACCACGAGTGTGGAGAGCACGACCGGTACCAGCAGCACCGCCACGCCCAGCGCGTCGTCGAGCACTATGACCGAGAGCAGCACCATGAGGGTGACGAGACCACCACAACCACGACCACCCCGACATCGACGACGACTAACGCAACGCCCACGACCAACACGACCACGACCACCGCTAAGACCACGACGACCACCACCACGACCACGACACCTGGACCACCACGACCAGCACCGAGATTACGCAACGCACGACCATTGCCGACGCCACGACCTCGACCTCGACAACGACGATTCGATCCCGACAATGACGACCACCACCACGGTCACCACTGACCGACACCAGCGTGACATTCTGACATCCAGGAGTGGCGCGGGCACAACGACGTGCCCAGGTGGGAGCAGTACAAGTGAGGCGAGCAGGGTTGGTGTGCTCCCCACCCCTCTTTTCCCCTCCCCTCCTCCCTCCGCCGTCTCTTCAATTGGCGCATGGGGCGCCTCGTGCAACTTGGGGCTGCTGGTGGGCTGTGGGCCGCCCGGTCCTGCGAGTCGCTTCCGTAATTAGGAGGCCGCTCCTGGCCCGCGCAGTCGCCGTCACCGGCGTGTCTCCATGCGGCCTCGCCGCACCCGCGTAGCTTAGCTTTGCGTTTACATCTTATCTGGTGTGCGATCCTCGCCCAGTTTCCTCGCGTCTTGTTTCGGCGTCCCACTCATACAGGGATGCCCGTGCCTTCGTTGTGTGCTGTGCTGCCCCCGCTTGCCGGCTGTTGTGTGCGACCTGCTTATATTAATGGTCGGTGGGACCATGTGGGATTGCTCTTTAGTTGTGCTGGTTTTGTTGTAGTGGCCGTCTGTGCCATAGGGGTGTTCACACAACTTTGTAGTTCGCTCGCTCTTTGCAGGCTCGGGCCCATAGGTTGGCACGCCTCTGACGGTTTGGCCATTGTGCACTTCCTTGCCGCCCGGCGAATCTGCTTGGGCATTTAATGTTTGCCGGTGCTTCTCCGGTGGAGGAGCCATGGGCAACGGCTTCCAGCAGTTGGGCACTGATGGACTGTAATGTTGGAGGGGCTTGGTGGCGTTGTGGCAAAAAAAAAAAGTCGGGCGTGTCCCCCTACAGGGGGATTTTCGACGAAAAATAAAAATACCCCCAAAATAACCAAAAAATATTCCAAACATAGTTTGGGGACTTTTTTTTTTGGGGGGGGGGGCATCTTTGGGGTATTTTTTTATTTTTCGTTGAAAAGCCCCCTGGAGGGGACACGCCCGACATGAGTTTGGCAGTGCGTGATCGACCTCTGGGCATGGAGGGGCCGGGCAGGGAGCCCTCGCCCGTCGACGACGAGCCCCTGGCGTCCGCCAGCGAGGCGGGCCGGGCGGCGCGCGCCCGCGATCGGCAGCTCTGCGCCGCGGGCCGTGCGCCTCGCCTCCGCCCCCGCCCCGCGGGCCCCCCCCCAAAGTTCGAAGCCGCCCGGGCTCAGACGTGCTTCAGCCGCGCGCAGAGGGCTTCTTGGAAGCACCCCTGCTTCTTAGATGGCCAGCGCCCTCTAAGAGGCAGGCCTCCTTCTAAGCAGCCCTCCCCCCTCCCCCCACCCCCTTCCCAGACCCCCGACGTAATGATTTTTTCATTACGTCGACCCCCGTAGGTCCCGACCCTTTCTCCATGACCGGGCATCCTGAGTCGTTTTTCGACACTCCCGAGGCCCTGTGAGGGCCCCCCGAGGCCGAAAATGAGGAAAAACCTCCCGTCATGATTTTTTCATTACTCGAGGGGGTCTGGGTTGTGCGCGCCGCCAAGTGCTCGCGTGGTGGAGCATTCCCGGCGTGAGGGCTTTGCCGCCGTTTTCGGCCTCCCGCGGGGGGCCTCCCCGCCCGGCCCCCCCCCCCGGGGGCGTCGAGAGCATCGGCCCGGGGCGTGACAAGCCATCCCGTGGGGAAAGGGTCGGGCCTTCTGGGGGGCCCCCGCACGGAGGAAAGCAAGACGTCGCGTGGCTCGGAAGGTGTCCGAAAGCTGCGCGGTTTCTGTCTTCGCGCTTGGGGCTCTGTGGAGCTCCGACCTCTTCCCCGCGGACCAGCTCTTCATCCTGAGTTGTTCTTTGACGGTCCAGGGCGGCGTCGAGGCCGCTCCGGGCTGCGCGGGGCCCGTCGAGGCCCGTCGAGACTGCCTGGGGATGGCTGTCTGCGCGCAGCCCGAAGCCGTACCACCGTCGCTGTTTCTGCGCCGCCCGGGTGTCTGGACACCCGCCGGTCTGATATTTTTCACTCCGCGGCCCCATGGTTTCCGACTGCTTCCCCAGGGGCAGTTTTTGGATGCTTGTCGCCCCAGATCCACGTCTGCCGGCCCCGGGACCCGAAGGCGGCCCCCGAGGGCCGACATCGACGAAAAGCCGTGGGCATTGAACACATTGTACACATTTACGCATCTCTCTCTCTCTATATATATATATGTACACATACATACATACATACATGCATACAGACACACATACATGCATGCATGCATGCATGAATACATACACACATACACACACACATACATACACACATGCATACATACGTGCATGCATCCAACCATGCAATATACATATAAACGTGCATACATGATATGGTACATGCTATATCGCATGTGTATTTTAACATGTCACTGTGTCTGTCTGCCTACCTGTATGCATGCATGTATGTATGTACGTACGCATTGTAATGTATTGTATTGTAATGAAATGTAGTATAATGTAGTGTAGTGTGCTGCAATGGATTGTAATGTAATGTAATGTATTGTATTAATGTAATGTAAGGTACAGGTAAATGTAAGTGTACATGTAAATGTGCATACACATGCAAATGTACATGTACATGTAATGTCATGTAATTTATTGTAATGTAATGTAATGTAATGTAAGGTACTGTACTATAATGTAGTAGAATGTAATGTAATGTAAATGTAGATGTAAGTGTAACTGTAATGTAAGTGTAACTGCAATGTAATGCAATGTAATGTGATGTAATGTGTTGTGATGTAAAGTAATGTAATGTAGTGTAATGCGCTGTAATGTAATGTACTGTAATGTAACGTAATGTAATGTAATGTAATGTAATGTAATGTAATGTAATGTAATGTAATGTAATGTAATGTAATGTATTGTAATGTATTGTAACGTAGTGTGATGTAATGTTATGTGATGTAATGCAATGTAATGTAATGTAATGTACTGTAATGCAATGTGCTGTAATGTAATGTATTGTAATGCAATATATTGTAACGTAATATAATGTAGCGTAATGTAATGTAATGTAATGCAATGCAATGTAATGTAATGTGATGTAATGTAATGCGAAGTAATGTAATGTAATGTACGTAAGTGTATGCAGCGCGATGTAATATAGTTTAACGTGTTGAGTGCAATGTAATGTTTGTAATTCCTTGTGAAGTAGTCTGCAGCAGGCTCGTATTGGGACTGGAAGGTCGCTGCTTCTCTCGTGCGCCGCCCGGCTCTCGGCCCTCCCCCCCGACCCTGACCAAACCAGGAGGGCCAACAGCAGCGCGGGGGCCTCGACGTCTCACGTCAGGCCGAGGCCTTGGGCAGAGGAAGGGGGAGCAAACGGAGGAGGAGGAGGAGGAGGAGGAGGAGGAGGAGGAGGAGGAGGAGGAGGAGGAGGAGGAGGTCGAGGGCGTGGCCTCGACGTCTCACGTCAGGTCGAGGCCCAGAGGTCTGGAGAGCTGCTGCTGGCCACTCCTGGCAGGTCCGGGGGCAGCCCCCCAGGCCCTGGGCCTCGCCGCGACGTCCCTGCCGGGCCTGCTGCGGGAGGCGGTGGGGCTGCTGGTGCGCAGCGCCTGCGAGCGCGAGCCGGCGGCTCGGCGGCCGCCGCGGGGCCCCTCCACGCGGGCCTCGGCGTTGAAACGACGCGCAGATCGGGACAAAAGCGGATCGGGATGACTCGAAAGCTCTGAGAATCGGCGGGCTTGGAGGACGTATTGGGCGCCGCGGCCGCTCCAGAGCGTTCCGGAACGCTCTGAGAGCGCTCCGGAACGCTCTGGAGCGATTTGTCCCGATCCTAGCCCTGTTTTAGGCGTCGCCCGTGGCGTCTGGGCCCCTCCACGCAGGCGTCGCGTAAGGTCTGGAGGATCGAAGCGGGTACGGCAGGTTCGCGTCGTGTCGGCCGCCGGCGACTTCGCCGCTGGCGCTGAACAGAAAGCGCCGCTGGTGACCCAGAATCGGTCGATGTCGAAGGATCTGAGGTTTCGGCAGCTGCCGATCGTTCAGGGTCGAACGATCCCCGCGGTGTCAGGAACCAACGCCGAGGTCGATGCGAACCCGCATGTACGGAAAGAATGGGGACGAACAGTAGTTTCTTTCCATTTTGAACAGGGTTTGCTGTCGGCGTCGCTGCGGACGTTGTCCATTTGGGACACTAGGCAGCCTGCCCAACAGCCGCGGCTGCCGGTTTTGAACAACATTTGCTGCTGTGCATCGTGACCATGCGTTCCCTACCTTCGGGGGAACGCAAGACCCGAGTAAGCCGGAACTCGGGTTTGCCGACGTTTTTTGACGAGCGCGTCCCGGGTTTTGACGGTCCAGTTTTCATGGGATGTCTGCAGCGGGAGCCCGCGGCCAATTTCAGATGGGGCCTCGTCATTTTTGTGATGGCCCCGTCGGGCCAACCCGAGTCCCCCGTACCCGAGTCTTACGTCTCCCCGATACCTACGCCGGGCGTCCAAACAAGGGGGGCCCTTCGCCGGAGTCACCTTGTCGTGATTCGGGCCGACATGGGGTCCCCTCGAGCACTGGACTGCAGCGTGCGGCCCGCTCGGCTTCGGCCCCCCGAAAGGCGCGCACCACAGGCCGCTCTTGCCAGGAGCCACTCCTATACGTGAGGAGGAGGAGGAGGAGGGAGGAGGAGGAGGAGGAGGAGGAGGAGAGGAGGAGGAGGAGGAGGAGGAGGGAGAGAGGAGGAGGAGGAGGAGGAGGAGGAGGAGGAGGAGGAGGAGGAGGAGGAGGAGGAGGAGGAGGCCGAGGCAGCAGTCTTGCGAAGAGAGCCCGCCAGCAGCCCTACCTATGCCGGGCGTCCAAACAAGGGGGGCCCTTCGCCTGAGTGACCTTTTGTGGTGATTCGGGCCGACAGGGGTCCCCCCAGCGCTGGCCAGCAGCGTGTGGCCCGCTCGGATTCGGCCCCCCGAACGGCGCGCACCGAAGGTCACTCTTGTCCCACTCGCGCGGCGCCTCCGGCGCCGCCCCTGGCGCGCTCCGCGCGCCAAGGAGGGAGCCCCAGCGCCGATTCGAGAAATCCGCGCGGACCTCCGAGTTTTCATGTTTATGCCATTGCTGGTTCCCCCACATTCGGGCGAGGGCGACAGCATTCGCCCGCTCGCGCGCGGCGCCCCGCCTGCAACGACTTGGCGAGGGAGGAGATGTGCGCCGCGCGGGCGGAAGCGCCACTTTCGGAGAAGACCTGCGCGGCGCCGGTGCGAAAACTAGATTTGTCCGTCTCCTCACGCGAGGCCTCGCAGCTGACGATCTGGCGAGCGAAACAATGCGCGTCGCCAAAGCGGGAGCTCTAATTCAGTATCGTTTAACCGATCCCCATCCCCATCCCCATCCCCATCCCGATTCCCACCATCTCACTGCCCCAGTTGGGGATGTACCCATCGAAACCCGACGAGAGCAGCCTATATCCCCATCTTGGGGGATACATCGGCCAGTGGGGCCCAGCCCACGCTGGTGGGGATGGGGATCGGTTAAACGATACTCCTTAATCTCAGGAGGATGTGCGGGGCGCTCGGGCGGGCGCGACATTTCGCCCTCTCGCGCGGCGTGGTCGCCCCGTCAAGCTCCCGCCGCGCACTTTGCAGCGGCGATGTCAAAACGTCCACGTTGAAAGGGGAAGCGTAGATTTGAAGTTCTCTTCGATGGGTCGGATGGCAGGGGAATCTGTCTGGATGGCCCTCGGGGATTTATGTTCATAAGGAATACGAGTGAGGGGGAGAGCAGCGCATGGAGGGATGATGAATCTTGGCAATGAGGAGGGAGGGGGAGGATCAGGAGGATTGGGAGGAGGAGGAGGAGAAGGAGGAGGAGGATGTGGAGGAGGAGGAGGAGGAGGAGGAAAAGTATTACATGCATGCGGGGGCATTCGGAATGTGTGGGCGAGGGGAGAGGCGGGAGGAGTGCTGTCAGGGAACAGCAGCAGAAGGGAGGATGAGAGAAACGGCCTCCTCCTCCTCCTCCTCCTCCTCCTCCGCCTCCTCCCTCCTTCTCCCTCCTCCTCTTCCTCCTCCTCTCCTCCTCCCCTCCTCCTCCTCCTCCTCCTCCTCCTCCTCCTCCTCCTTCGCCTCCTCCTCCTCCTCCTCCTCCTCCTTCTCCTCCTCCTCCTCCTCCTCCTCCTCCTCCTCCTATCCTCCCCCCAGGCCCCGACGTTGCGTTTTTTGTTCACAGCGTCGACCCCCAGAGGCCTGGAGCCCTTCCCCGGACGGGCTTCTCGTCCCGAGTCGGCTTTTTCGGGGGCGGCCCAGCGGGAGGTGACGACTAGGGGGGGGGATGTATCATGGCGTGGGCCATGAGATCCCCCCTGATTTCGTGGCGCCGCATCTTCTTTCATGACGTTCCTGGCCGCCCTTTGGGCCGCGCACATGCCGCCGGCCATGATTTGCGCCGCCCCCTTTCCCCCTCTTGGACCCCCCCTCTTGCCCCCCCCGTCCCGAGGCCCAGTACGGGCCCCCCTGAGGCCGAAACCAGCGAGACGGTTCCCGTCGGTGTTTCGTACGGCGCGAGGGGGCCTGGGCCCCTCTCGCCTGGCCCCCCTCCAGATTGTCGCCTCCCTCCTCCTGCCCTTCGCGTCCCCCTCAGCTCCCTCTGCCTCTCTGCGAGGCGGGTCGGCATCTGCCTCGTTTCCTCCCGGGGGGGGGGGGGGGCGGCGGCCGGGCCAGAGGTGAGGGACCCGTGGCGTCCCCCTTCCAGCTTCCCTCCAGCTTCCCTCCCTGCAGCTGCGCCTTCCCCCCTCCAGCTCCCTCCCTCCGGCTCCCCCGGCGGCCCGGCAGCTCCCGATCCCCCCCTCCGCCTCCCGCCCTCCCCCCCTCCGCCTGCCCATTTCCCGGACGTCACCAGGGGAGAGAGGAGAGTAGTATTCATAGTGTGTACTTGTAGAAAGGAGAGAACAGGAGAGGAGAGGAGAGGAGGGGAGGAGAGGAAGAGGAGAGAGGAGAGGAGAGGAGAGGAGAGGAGAGGAGAGGAGGAGAGGAGAGGAGAGGAGAGGAGAGGAGAGGAGAGGAGAGGAGAGAGGAGAAGAGAGAAGTCTCCTGCCCCCCTCTTTTCTGCCCTCCCCTGGCGGCGCGCCGAGGCTGCCGGACGCCCAGCTGCGGGCGCTGATGTGGGTGGTGCGGAAGGCGACCGGGAACGGGTTGTGGAGCGGTATCTCTCAGCATCGCTCGGGTGTGTGCGTTTCTCAGGAGGGGAAAAACACACAGACACAATGAATCGTCCACTCCCAGGAAAATATGGGAGAATATGGGAAGTGGGGGGGGAAGACAAAAACCCGGAACATATGGGACAGTGTGGGGCATCTTTTTATTTGTGTGTATTTATTTGTGTGTCCCAGGCCCCTTCATTTTTCCTCGGCGAGGACCATCGAGGAGCATGTTTGTTCATCCCGCGGAAACATGCACGCACGAAACCGAAACATGCACAGGGGATGCTTGTCAGAGCGATGGTGACAGATTATAGGAGCCTAGTATACCGTCTGCGTCGCGTAGCGTTTGGTAATCAATGGGATAGCGCCGATTTAGCGTCAATTGGCGTCGTCTAGCGTCGATGAGCGTCGATTTAGCGTCGATCACCGTCCATTGGCGTCGATTCGCGTCGATCCCCGCCGGCCGTCAAGATTGTGGGGGAGGCTCCCGCGAGTTGCCTCCGAAGTTGGAGCCGGCTGGGGGTCTGAGGTGGCCCAGCACTGGTTCACCACCCACCAAACCACCCCAACCCAACCCGAAGGCTCAGATTTACCCTTGATTTCCAGTGGGGGGGGGGTCGGGAAACATCGAAAAAACACATGTGGAACCCTTACCCCCCCCAACCCGAAATTCGGGTGTCACTGGCCCCGCCGAGCCTGGAAGAGGGGGGACGCCTGGCGGGGGGCCTTTGAGGTCCTGGGGCTGCAATGTCTCCGCGCCCGGTGTGCTCTTCCAGGTGTGGGCCCTGGATCATCGCCGATCGATCCGGCTCGAAAAATGCTGCAGAAAGGTGGGGTCTCGAGGGCTCCCATCGCGATGTCCTTCGTCAGAAAAAAAAACAAGCAATACATTATACATATATATATATATATACACAAACATATGTGTATATATATATATATATAAATATAAATATATAACATGCTTGGGCAATGCCGGATCTCTGGGAGTGCCGCGACGAAGAGGATTGTGCGGAGGAGGGAGGGAGGGAGGTATGGCCAGGAGGAGGGGTGAGGAGGGATGACGAGGATTCTTTTTTCGGGTGGGGGTGGGAGCGGGGAAAGGATGACGCGACGAAGGAGACTGCTTGCAGGAGGTAGGGAGGGATGAGCAGGAGGAGAGAGACGGTGGGAGGTGGAGGGAGAAGGAGCTTCTTATTATTGCTAGAACGGCGCCCACGGATCCAGTCGAGTGGTCCAAGGGGAACCTCCGGCTCCCCAGGACGGCCCAATGGGGGACCTGAGAGGGCCCCCATAAGTGCCCCTTGGGGCCCCCGAGAGGCACAACAAAACACAAGACAGGAGGAGGAACATCTTTCCTTTCTGCTCCCACCCTCCTTTTCCTCCTAAGACCCACAAGGCCGACTAGAATCCACCGAGAAACTCCGAACGAGAAATTAAGCGCCGACCCCTGCTTCTCTTTCCTCCTCCTCCCCCTCCTCCACTACCTCTTCCTCCTCCTCCTCCTCGTTTACCTCTTCCACCTCCACCTGCTCCTACTCTCCTTCCCTATGCTGCTGCTGCTCCTCCGTATCATCCACCTCCTTTTGCTCCTCCTCCTGGTACACATTGACCACGTTAGTTTATGTGTAAGTATAAATGTACGTGTTTAGGTATTTGTATTTGTATAGTCAGGTAAATGTATATGTCTGGATGAGTATAAATGTATCTCTGTACACGCGGCTGTTGGGCTCCCCGATGGAAGGGTCGGGAGAGGGTGGCGATGTATCGGGACAGGTGGATGAGAAAATGAGAAGGTGGATGACAATGAGGACGAGGCACCCGGAGAAGGAGGAGTATGGGAGGGAGGAGGAGGAGGAGGAGGAGGAGGAGGAGGAGGAGGAGGAGGAGGAGGAGGAGGAGGAGGAGGAGGAGGAGGAGGAGGAGGAGGAGGAGGAGGAGGAGGAGGGAGGATGACAGAGAAATCTATGGGCAGGAGGACCAGGAGAAGGAATTACCGAATTCTAAGTTTCTGGATGTTCAACGGTTTGTCGTCGACAAAATAAGGAAACATCGTAGTCGTAGTAGTGGCCGTAGTAATACAAATAATAGAAGCTATAGTATGTGTAGTAGTAGTCGTAGTCGTAGTCGTAGTCGTAGTCGTAGTAGTAGTAGTAGTAGTAGTAGTAGTAGTAGTAGTAGTAGTAGTAGTAGTGGTGG